TTGAGTTTCTAATAGATTCCGACCATCGTGGTATTGCAGACAGAAGCGTGACTCATCAGTAAAGACAATTTCATTCCATTCTGCCTTCCACATCCTTCTTTCATCGCAACATTGTCGGCGGAGACGTCTGTTGTTCTGCATCAACGGTGGATGAAACAATGTACATCTTGCAGACAGACCATTCTGCTGTAAACGGCGTTGAATGGTACACGCAGACACTGGATGATGTGTTACAGACTGAATGTGCTGTGCTATGGTTTGTGATGTGACTGAGCGATCCGTCACTGCCATGTGCACAATGTTCTTGTCATCACGTAAAGTGGTACACTGAAGTGGATGTGATCGAACACGTTGGTTCTTCGCACCCTCCTGCATCCAACTCTCACATATCTGCATTACAGTTGTTTGGTTTCGTCCAACACGACTATTGATTTCCCTGAAAGATAATCCACACTCTCGGTAGGGCACTATCCTTCCTCTGTCAAACTCGGATACTTGATCAAACGATGATCACTGTTTACTACAAGGCATAATTTATCTTTTTTTTTTTTTTTTTTTTAACCACAAGAAAAAAACACAATTGCCGAACTTAAAGTCGTCGAAAACTCCGAGCCTTAAATAGCGCTTTGAAGTAGCGCCACAGGCACGCGTGATGTGCGTCTGCACTGAAATTCTAATCATCTGCATATCTCACCTCCGCTAATGCACGTTGTAAATTTCATGCTATTTCCATGCTTTCTTCAGGGTGTTGCATTTACAGTGGCCAGCAGTGTACTTTAACCTTTTTTTTTCCCATCCACATTCAGATATTTTTTATGAGTTCACCTCACAAGTTAACTGTATGTAATTCTGTGTAACTTCAGAATATCAATTAATTTTTGTGATGATCAGCACAAAAATTTATCCTTTTTTAGAAAATCAAATTAAATTCAAATAATGTAAGGAAAGTTTTAAAAATAATTTATAACATTAAAAATAATTTTATTGTTCATATGGTGAGTTTTCAGTACATTTTATACTAGTTTTTTTAACACTGTGTTCTAATATATTTTCAGGTTTAATTTATTGAAAAAAGGAATGCAGCGAATAGATACAGATGGTCTAAACTCATTGCATTATAAAATTTTAAAGACTGAGCTATTACCTCTTTATACCCGAATTCTAGTGGACGTTAAACCTGAATAATTATATATTTCAAACATCTTTATGTATGTAAGCTTGTTTATAAACTAAATACGAGTTGTACATATGTTAAAATATTGTAATATAATATATTATATATACAGGGGTCCCAAAATGACCGCATAAACTCTGCACAGCTAGATTCCTCGTTGGGAGTACATAAAAACTGCCTAAAGAAGTGTTCCTGTACGATCCATAGTTTATGAGAAAAATACGAAAAACAAAGTATGGCATCACTGCCGGTGCAAAAAAAAAAAAAACACTTTATTGGACATTTCAACAATAGTATTGGCATATCTTTCTAGACAATAATGGTTAAAACGTTCGCCGCGCATATTGCATCATGCATGCGCGCGCGCTGTGTATCCAGATGTATCCAGATTTGGGACAACACCAATGGACTTAGTTGCTCGTCTGCATGCTGCTTGTACTTCTGTGGACCCCCGCGATGCTGCAATGTGTGATGACAGCCATTCCACGGCATGCTCAAGCCTGCCTCGACATGTACAGCAGACACTTTGAACATTTGCTTTAAATTGTACCTATACTGCTGTTGATATGTTCAATTGTTTTTTCTTGCACCAGCAGTGATGTCATACTTTGTTTTTCGTATTTTTCTCATAAACTATGGATTGTACAGCAACGCTTCTTTGGGAAGTTTTTATGTACTCCCAATGAGGAATCTAGCTGTGCAGAGTTTATGTGGTCGTTTTGGGACATTATTAATCTGTATTATAGCATAATTAAATGTAAATAAAATAGTTTTCCCTTCTGTTACATCTTGATAAAATATGTCTGAGATTTAGAATTTATTTAAAAGTATTCTTATGACAATGATTATAAAATGATTATTATGAAATATGAAGTCTGGCTTCCTTCTCCATGTCTAGAATTTTCTTCAGCATTGTAAGGATGCCTGCAACCACTGAAAAAGAAATTGTTAATTATTTTTTCTAATTTCATGTTAATGTCATAAAAAACTATTTATTATTATTATTATTATTATTATTTGATCTGTTATATCACATCAATAAATTATATTTTTAAAGCAACTGAATGTTTTTAATGTCTTTTCAATGCATAAATGTAATTTTCATTTTCTTACTTCTGCCAGTGTAGTTTTTACAAAGCCATTTTGCATTAAGTCCTTCTTTTCAAATGTACCTAGAGATTTTTAATATGGAAATAAGTGCTTATTTTTTTACACAGAGAAATCAAATGAGAATATTTCTTAATGATTAACTTACCAAATGCAACCATAAGATGCAGTATGCAAAGCACAAAATCTCCAAATCTAAGTGTGCCATCCTTACGCATATAACGTAACACTAAGAGTGACAAAGCATCAACATTCACTTGAAATCCTACAAATAAATTTGTCTCATTTTATTAATGATCTCATTTTTCATGTGAATTATGCATTATATGGTATTTTCTGTTTGTATGCAACCTTTTCATAAATTTTATAACCTCTTCATGAATTAAGTTTTTCATATTGCAATATTAAATAACTGTTTTTCATGAAACTAACTCATAAGTATAGTAAAATGCTTTGAATACATAATTGTTTCAGTATTTTTCTTTTACAATTAGTAATCCAAATCTAAATTTCCCAGCTAATATGATATCATTTATCTAGTGCTTTACATATTATGGTTATAATGTAGAGAAGGAGCTATTTGAATTGGTGCCAAATGCCAATGCTGCTACCGGCTTTCAGGTAACTCAGAATCAACTATGTTTTCTGAAGTTTTGGCAGCCATTTTATTGTTACTTTTAGATATATTTCTTAAGTTTAATTTGATTGGAACTTCTTAGTGTAGTGATCACAGGCTATATATAAGCCCGTGATCACTACACAATTGTATGTATTGTATGTATATCACATACTACAAATAATTGTAATATGTGTATCACATACTACAAATTTTGAATTATTGGAATTTTTAACTGCCATAAATTGATCTTTGGTTTTCATTTGCTGGCTGGTTCTAATTAATCATTATGCCACTACTTCCGTGAAGAAATATGTCTGGCAAGATTCATTTTTTTCTTTTTTCCATGATTTAGAGTGAAAGGGTAAGAAAGTTTTAACTAATTGGTGTATAAAGGTTTAATTAGTTTTTGCTATGAATGTAAAGTTTGTATAAAAGGTATGTGTCTGGTCGAGCTTAAGGAACAATCAGACAGCTATGAGCAAGTTTGTTGCAAGAAAAGTGCTACTCATATCAGCACCTTTGAGGGTATGTGGAGTCACATCAAGTATGAGTTTTGCAAGCAGGGTCTTCAGCAAATGTCAGATGTCATTTTGTTTTCCTATTTTGTAGAATTTAAATGGCACCATCAATACTAGGATCAGGAGAAGGTAGATCAATTCCTGGACTACATGATTTGCTTTATGTATGTGCAGCAGTCATCTGATGATGACGATGAGATGCAGCCAAGAACACATGAGGTGAATACTTTTGTTATTTTTATAACAAACATTTTCAGCATTCTTTTGTGTGACAACTATTTTGAAATATTGCTTTTTGGTGCCATTCTTGGCATCCTAAAAAATTGCCAAAAATATTATGGAGCACCCAGTGCTAAAAGTTTACCCATATTATTGCTAATATCATCATTAAAATACTTATTATTATTAGATCACAATATACTATTTGTTTGCACATTCTGTTAATTTAAATCTCAAGTATGGTTAACATAATTTCTTAATATATTATTAATTAATAGTGCATGTAAACATTAACCTTTTCTCTGAAATATATTTTCAAACAATCCTTGAGAACTTCCTATTGTTTGTGTTTCTTAGCTCACTTGTCTGGCAGTAATATCAGAGCAAGCCCACAAAATTCATCGTGGCATGGAGAGCAAGATTGCACTTGTAGTTGGCAAGAACCTTGAGCACCATACAGGTGACAGTACGACTTCGCTCAGTTCTGCCCCAATTTTGATGGAGAGCACCTTGGGGTAGGTTCAGATGGTCTCTCACCCCTCTTTCCCTACTACCAACCTCTAAGTATATGGTGAGCTGAGGACTTTTGGCTTGCTATATATTTAGAGTGTCTCAATGCTTCAAAAACATTATACACTCTCCATTATTCAAACTCGGATCCTTCGGTAGCGCAGTAGGCTTCCCTAACCACTATATCATCTGGGCAGCACTCCCTATCATTTTGGAATGGAATGAGAACCTTACAGAATCTCTGAAAGTTTTTAATATTGTTTTAATCTAGATATGTGTGAAACAAAATTCAGTCATAAACAAGAATAAATAAGTGGGAAAATAGAATTTTCTTTTGCTGTTAGATTCAGTAAAAATTTGAACTAAAATATTTCGGTGAAGATTGTATGTACATTTTTCTATACTAGTTGTGTACATTCAACAAACTTGCTGCTTTAAAGAGATGATACAAGTAATATTTAGCACCATCTTTTGAGCAGGAATGTAAGGTGGATGTTCAGGATTAGAATTAAAGTTATTAAATAAATTTTAGAAAATTTTGATGAATATGAAATATTTCATGATAAAATTGGAATTTTTGGTTGATTTTAGCGAACTAATTGTTTTATGAATTGATATCTGGTGTAAAATAAAAAAAAAATAACTTTTATAATATATATATATGTAAAAAAAGTTATATAGTGAAGGCAGATTAGAATTCCTAACTTTTGTAAGTAAATAAGATAAAAAAATTACCTTCACAAATGGCACTGATTATTGTTTAGTGCTAGTAATAATCCAATAATAATTGAATAACTGTACAGAATAATTTTTGTATTGTTTTGTGCCAGTAATAATCCAATAATAATTGAATAACTGTGCAGAATAATTTTTGGTTTTAATGAAGAGAGAGATATAAATCTCCTTTTTATCAAAATTAATGCTGAAAAGGACTTGGGTGTTTTACTAGTTTTTAAAAGTAGTATAAAAGTTTTGCATTTATTTTTTTTTTCAATTTTATTGTTTTAATTTTAAATGTTTTTGAAATGAAGACAGCTATTTGTGGTATTGAAAAGTGAAAATTATACAGATGCAGAATTGAATTATAAAGTTTCACATTTCAGAACCATTCAAATGTAAAACAAAAAAGTATCTTATATAAACGGATAAAATATTTTATTTTATTATTTCTTTAGTATTGTAGTTGCAATTTAAGTAATGGAAAAAATTAAGGATTTCAGAGCTATTAACATTCCAGCACGCAGGTATGTACAAAATTTACGATAAATTCAGTTTTTAATGCACATTTTTCACATATCAAAGCTAAGACGTCTGAAGGTCATTTCTATTTCTCCTTTTAACCTTTTCCCATATCCATGGAATGTGCCAACAGGAAGTCATTTGACATTTTTCATAACTGGGCTTTTGTGCTACCTGGCAGCTTTTTCATAAAAGTTAGGACATGCGCGTGGTCGTGTTTTAAAATTTGGAAAATATTTCTTTTCTCAAATATTTTGTAATTTTGCGTTATTAATTGCTGTGTATTATTTTAATTTGAATACATTTGGCTGTGTAAATTTTATATTGGTTTTCATGGCAAAAATATATGTGCAACCAGCTGATATGGCTCAGATTCTTCAAGAATTATCTGATGAAGAAAAGGAAGACAAGGAAACCTTTGGATGGGAGAACAATAGTGATTTCCATTCTTTATTTTCTCTTTTATTTCTATTTTTTAGAAATAAATAAAAACATTAAAGTTAGTTTTAAAGTGCGTTTTTGTAACCATTAAGAAGTAAATTTCCTTGCAGAAGTAAGTAATGCCAAACGTACTTTTTTCCCTACCAAGGTGTCCTTCTACGAAGTAAAAAGGAAGTATTGTAATCGCGAAAAGTTTCAGGCAGCATATTTCAACGAAAATATCCATTTTGACCGCTATCGAATGCAATTCAACGACGTTTTTGCATGATATCTGTACGTAAAAACAGAATAAAAGACTCGTTTCCTCCAAAAAAAATATAAAACTGCTTTAAAATGAATTCTGAAAAGAAGTTTTCGTGGCGTCTGTACGTATGTATCTTGCATGACTCAAAAAACGACTAGCCTCAGAATGTTGAAATTTTGTATATAGGACTGCTATAACATGTAGATGTGCACCTCGTATTTTGGTTGCAATCGGCTGCACAAAACGTATATAAATATATTTATATATATATCCACTCTGTTACCCGGCTCAGTGATCTCAGTTTCTTTACTCATATATGTTTGTAAATTGTACATTTTTTGCTTTAAAAATGATTGAATTATGTTGTTCTTATATTCCAGTTAAGGTTTTTATGCCTTTTGTAAATCTGTATGCAATATTTTTAGAATTATCAACAATTTTAAAGTTGTTTAGGTGCGGCTAAGCCTATAATTTATTATTATATATAATAATTTTTTTGATGGCGGCCATTGCGTGTTTACATTTGAAACAGCAGACTAGTGGATTTGTTGCCAATCTAGAGAAACTTAGCTTCGCAACAACAAAGATAACGCATTCATTTATTATTGCCAATTAAATCATGCTTAATTCTTTCTGGAATTTTTTCGAGGAAATAAGTGTTTGAGATTTACTTCGTAATTTTTAATATAGATATTTTGAATTTTTATGTATTTTTGCCTTGTCGCGAAGTGAGAACTGAATTAATTGAATGAGAAATACTCAACCGTCTGTGGAAAACTGTTTCTTTTTTGTTTTGTTTGCTTTATTTATTTTGTACATCATTCTAGCTTTATTATAGTATTTGAATATAACATGTGGCAACGATTAGATAATTCTTTAAATGATATAAATTTTGTGCAATCTGAGTTATAATATAAACGAAATATAATACTGTTAAGTGAATTTAGCGCCAGAGTGTTGTTATGGTAAACAAATAGAGTGAATTTTAAAGAATGCATTTATTCTATTGTAGTTTATGCGCTGTTGGCGAAGTAGATTTAATTCAATCCAATAAGTTTAAATGAAATGCAAGGAAAAATGCGTATAATTTAATATTCCTTACAAAGAAATCATGTGGTGTACACATCAGATTTTTTATTTTTGATACTTGTCTTTGATGAATATTAAAATTAGCTTCGATTTTAAAATATAATTATTAAATAATAAATGTAAAATTTTCTGTAATGAAATACATCATTGAATTTCCATCTCACTAACATAAGAACTTAAATATAATTTACTTATATTTGAATGTGATATTTGTATTTTGCAATAATAAGATTAATATGTTATTTCTTAAGAAATTTATTATCAATATTCACTCATTTCTGTCGTTTTTCGTGCCATAAACGGTAAAATAATGGATGTCGTAAAAAGTACGACGTGCGCGTGCTGGAAGGTTAAGGCCATTTTTCAGCTCTAATTATTCTATTATTCAATTAATTATTTCTTCCTTTCTGACCTTCATACATTTTATAAACTGTTTCTTCCCTCCTCTATATAGATCTGTTGCTGCAAATTGCCAGTTTTCATTTAAATATAGCTGAGCTTTAAAAATGATTAAATAGTATGACAGCATCATAATTAGAAATTAATTAATAGAATGTAATGTATATATGAGTAACAATTTTTAACTTTTAAGAAAGTTCTATAATATTTCAGGAAATGATCAGTAAGTAGTAGAGAAATTGAAATCGATTTAAAAGGAGGATAAACTGAAATCGATTTAATTATATAAGTGACAAAACAAATATTTAATTATGAATTAATTTGAAAAGAAATTACAGTTTATATTATTTAAAGGAGAATGCTTTATAATGTTAAATTGTTGATGAGTAAAAATGATTTAAGGTATAATAAATAAAGTGGAAAAAGTGCCAAGTGTGGTAATATGTTAAGTTTCAAATAAGAAAAACATGTTATTATTTATCAATCCTTAATTTGTAGTAATAAGCTAATTTTTGTGTATTTCTTCTTCTAATACAATAATGAAAGTATGCATAAAGGTTTTCAAGTAATAGTTGATTTCTGTTTCAAGATAAAATGTTAATTTTTTTTAAGCGCCTTAATTAAACCATTTTAGTACCTCACATATCTGGCTTTTTGCATTGGCTTCATGCACTGTTTTCTGTCTTGTTATTTGATACAAATGCCCTAAAGAGAGATGCCACTAGAAATGTCCTAAAGTTTTGACACTATGTAAACTTTTAAAATGTGTAAGTAAATATTTTTATTTGGTAAATATTAAATTTCTGCCTCTTCTCCAAGAAAGTAATTTTTAAATATAAATATTCATTACCATTAACATATAGAAATAACAATTTACAGGTAGATTATTTAGAAATAGCAGTGATATAATAACTGCTATTCAGTTTTATCATTTCATGAATATTTAATGTAGAATTTTTAAAACTTCCATTTATGATATGTAACCTGAGTATTGGTATTGCCAGAGAATTATGCAAACTAATTTTAGCATATATCTTACCAACATCCATAAGTGCTGCTCTTAATTTCTCAGCCCTTAAGATGCCAGATGATCCTCTGCTGTGACTTCTGAATATTGTCTGAGATATTAATCATAGAAAAGAGATTGTATTATCAATGAATAAATATTAAATGAGTAAAATTATATTATGAATGAATAAAAATAGAGTAAAAAGTATTTTTATTACCTAATCTATTTAACTAACCTGCCAAAGCTTTAAACTGCACATCAGATTTTTGTAATCTTGATATTTCAGTCGTCCACTTCCACTTTTCTGAGAAACTGGTTAATTACATAACTTACAAATAATTAAGCATAATAGTTATTAAATTTATACGCTTATTTATATCACATAATTATTGCAAATTGTGATGAAGTCCTGTCAGTTTTATTATTTATGTGATCTACAAATTAAATTGGAAAAAAAAATTCCCTTTCTTCTTATTAAAATTTTATTGAAGCAGTGTATTTTATAAGTGTAAAATAGAAATCAAGCTAATAAATTGTATAATCTTAAAATTGGTACATAAAAGTACCAAATACCAAATGGTAGACACAATATTAATCAATAAAGGTGTTAATAACTTTTCTCTCTGCTTCCTAAAAATGTTTTAATTATATACTGTAATACAGTAAATTATTTTAACATCTTCAAATAATAATGACATAATATTGTTAAAACAGTTCTTTAAAAAATTTCTAGAATCATGATACAAAATTATTTGTATAAGTATGTATTGTACAAATAATTAATGAACAAGAAATTCTGCCATGAAATAATGCAAGATATCATTTTTTTTTTTTTTTAAATGAGGAATAATTTACATTTAAATTATACACAAAACTATTTTGTAGTCACTGAGATCTTAATTTTCCGCTCCATATGCTCCAATGCCACGGCGAAAGCCAAGTTCCACAATTGAGATAGTCAAGCTGTATACCGTCAGCAGACCCCACTCCTGACACCAGTTACGTTATTTTCTTCCTTCACGTTCGTACGGGGTTCGTATATTTGGAGTGAATAACGACGACACTTGATAAAGTATCGAAACACTCTTTATTTAGCCAATATTAATCAGAACAGCTCCAATAACGCGTTTACACAGTCGCGAAGAAGTGACACAAAATAGCTTTACAATTTCACTCTGAAACCTGGAAGTCGTAAACTAAAACTAGTCCATCAGTTTGAAAGCTTTTGCCTTTGTAGCAGAGAGGAATTTCTTCATCCCTGGCGCTCATCTCTAGTCATTAGATTCCAGATGTACTGATGGCACATTTTAAAAGGCACCTCCGTATCAGGGTCTCGATTTCACGGTCAAATAATTTTGAAGTAAGATGTTCAGAATTGACTAGAGTAGCATTTGTGAAAAATCACTGTCTGTTGAGCTCCGAGAATACAAACAGAATGTAAAACCTCTCAAATAATGTAGAAACCATTGTTTTAAGGCAACGCATGTTTCCCATCTGAATTTCTGAACCTTGACCTTTTAACTGATTGAATGCCTTTGGAATTCATTAGACATATAGCTCAGCAACTACGTTCAAGGACAAATCCCTGCGGGCATACCTTGGCCACACAGTTATGAAATAGTTTCGATACGACGGCATAATGGCCGAAGTGTTAATGAAACTAACGACTAGCTGCCAAATTTTTAATAGAAAAGGAAAAAACAGTTAATTCAGCTGTGTCAGTATAGAATTCGCATGACCTGACAATGAAGTTTTTTTAAATATTTGCAAGTAAAGACTAATTTTCAATTAACAGTATAAAACGGTACATGATTAAATAATTCCCCCCCTTTTTTTTCTAATTTTTAAAACAAAAATATGTTATTCTAAAGAACAGTTTTGGAGCTTTTTATTATGCATATATTTTGGAAAAGAACAGAGCTGAATTTAAATTAGGAACACTTACGTAGTTGGATATTGCAGTACTAACAATCTTTTACAATAAAATAAAATAAATTTTAATTAAACCAGATAAATTCAAATTTGCTGAAATTTCCCTCCTTAAATAGTACGTTATCAAGCAGATTTTGAACAATTATGTAAAATTAAAATTTCATTACGCCTATAGAGCATAATTTTAACAGTTCCAATGAACTTTAATTTTTAATCATTTCTAGAGCGTTAAGCGTTTATTTTTTAATTATTCCTTGTATGGAAGAAAGTTCAAACATATAGCTATATTGATTAAATATATACTAAAAATAATTTAAAATTATAAGGACATTAACAGAAAAAAAAAAAAAAAGACTGAAATGAAGAGTGGTTAAATTTTAAATTGTCGATAAAATAATCAAATAGTTGAAATAATTTTTTGACATAACATTAATATAAAGATATGACAGAAATAATTATTGTAAGCACTTAGTAAAAACACATAATTTTGTAGTGTAATTTAAAATTCTAACAAAATTTTGTAACGAAAGTAACGTCCTATAATATAAAGAATGACATTTTCATCAACGGAAGTTTACACATATCCTGAGTAACGCCCAGTAGTCTCAATCCGGAACAACTGTAATATGAAATTTTCCCTCAGTGACAAAAAGCATCTTGAAGCATTAAGAGATTTCTTATGAGGTCCATGTCTTGAAGCCTGGTCACTAATCCCTACACTTTCCTTCCTTTTGTGACATAGATGCACCCCTCTGAGAATCCATTAAACTACACATAAGAATCTTTGTTGCAAATAGGAGGTGATTTCTTAACATGGAGGTAGGAAGTAAGAAGGAGTCGCGCTAAACAAGTTTCTCCGTACCCTGCTCTGAAGCATCGGCGATCCCTACGTGGTGACCAAAACATTGGGTCATTTACCATTGAGTTCTATGGGATTTGACACGTTCGGGTGTAAATATTTTGTAATTACGTCGCAAATATACATATAAATGTATATATTTTCTTTTTCTACAACACTTCAGAGTCCTAAGTATGTGAAAACAACATATTTTAAACAACATTTCATTCTGAACGGAATTAAATGCTATACTTTTCACAGGACAGTTTTCTCAGAATGGTTTTTAATTTGAATGAAATATTTTCACAAGTTTTCGTTAATTACATTAGAAAAAAAAATTAAGGTAATTCGAATTTATTCGGTTAAGGTACAAAAATTAAGATCAAAGTTTATTGTATTATTAATATTAAAATATGCATTATTTCTTTTCTATTTATAGAGCTTCTTCCTAAAATACTTTCTTAAATATGACATGATTTTTTGGCTTCTTTAAAATCGAAAAATGTAAGTCAATTATAATTAATGCTCTATTCGGTTCATTTTAAATTAGAGAATTATTAGGAATTAGCGATATGCTTTAAATAAGTATTTCGCTAATTCCTAATAATTAAATAGTATTTGACTTTCTCTGAACATTTCTGAAAGGGAATAAAATAAGGTTTTTTTTTTTTTTTTTTTTTTTTTTAAGTATTATTTAAAACTTGTAACTGAGTTATTATAAAATGTAAAGGGAATAATTCTTTAATTATACTTATCAGATTTTTTACCCGGCATTTCAACAATACATATTCCAAAACTCTTTATTACGTTCTTAAGTGCGCATCTTATAGCATTTGCTTTACAATACCTTTTAACAGATTGCTTTCCAATACGAACAATTCTTGCTTAAATAGTTTTATAACGTATTGTCAGCAGGATTTCAATATATGTTTACAATTCAATATTAAGGTTATTATATATTTAGATAATATTATAATCATTATAAATTAGATACATTTAATAATTAGATTTCTTCACAGTACTTTCACAGTTGTTTATAGTGAATAAATTCTTCATTTCAAATACATTTATAAATAATTTAATGAATATTTAAGTATTTTGTCAAAGGCAGATACATGCTTTTGCAAGCACACATGCATAAATACCCATACATATTTCCTATTTTCATTTCCGGCATGTGCAAATCTTTAATTTCTGTGCATTCACTATATTTTTCGTGTAAAGTAATTTACACTAATTTAGCATACACCCGAAAGTTTTACATAAAAAATATATATGAATATAATTTGAATGAAAATTATAAGTATTATTTTTAATACCCACTCAAAGGTCAGTTTTTCTTCAAATTCCTCCACGATGGCATCTCTCTCTTTAGGCAGATAGCCCTTGCATGCGTTACTCTATTTAATAAAAACTTAATCTGACCTATGTGCCTAATTACAAATATTTTAACATACATAATTTATATTTACATTTAGCCATCAAGTTTCAAACTTTTCAAATCTTCTAGAAAATAAATTTTGGCAGATCTCTTTTAGCAATTTTCTTAAAATCTATATTTTTGTAGTGCAACAGCTTATAATTTTATAAAACAAATTCATAATCAAAATCGCTGTTGTTAGTTATCGAAAAAAACCAAGATGTGATTTTGCGCGTAAATGTCAGTAAAACTATACAAATTGCTATTATCCATCACACTATGAATGTTTCTTTCATGCGAGAGTGTCCCTTTTTTTCGATTTCTATGGAACTGTTGTGTGTCGAAATACTATCAGAATCTTGTCAAGCGAGCTTCTGAGTGTAAACAAAGAACACCCCGTCTGGTGACCCAAGCTTCAAAGCAGTGCTTCACTTTTAGCGCGGAATGGCCCCTCCTCCCTTTCCTACCTCCATGTTTCTTAAAGGGGGGAAAAGCATTTGGTTCAAGATACCTCATCCTTTAAAGGACGGGGCCGGGGCTTTGGCAGCTGTAAGCCCCACCCTCAAAAGGTTAATTCTTTCTGTTGGGCCTGGCGGGGGAGACAGATGCTCGTCAGAATAAGAAGATTGCGATGTGCGTGTTGCTTGTATAATTAATAATATTTTATCTCATATTTTCAACAGTCAGCTGTCCAGTATACAAAGTATTGAATGAAAAACTGTTGCCAAAACCACATTTCTGAAAGAATGAAACTATTCAAAATGATGCGATTTCATCAAAAAAGATAAAATTAAAAAAAAAAAAAAATCTGATTCGAATTTTGAAAAAATCGCTTCGAGGTGCACTGGCTCTTGTCTAGATGCACCTATGTACCAAATTTCGAAGCCCTGGGTCTATTAGCTTACGCGCACCACGGACGAAAGACACACACATAGACAGACTCTTTCTTTTATTATATGTAGAGATTATTTCTTTATTATTTAATTTCGTTTAATATTAGTCCAAGGCTCAAAATGTATATACAACTTTAAAGTTAGATTTGTTCTCTACATTTTGATTCTCCTAATTCCTATTCCATACGAGTCATACTGTAGCGAGTTTAACGCATTCGGTT